TATCAAAACGCGTTATCATGTATCAAAACGCGTTATCATTTATCAAAACGCGTTATCATTTATCAAAACGCGTTATCATTTATCAAAACGCGTTATCATGTATCAAAACGCGTTATCATATATGAAAACCCTTTATCAGGGATCAAAACACGTCATATACGTATCAAAACGCGTTATAAAATATATTAGAAATTTTAGGAGCTCGGAAATAAATTTTCTGTAGAGAAATCTTTATTGCACACGATTTTTTACGAAAAGTTTATTAACTAAATCGTTATTTCAAGCCGCTTTATTCGAATTTTTTATCTTCTTGATATTTTGTTCTAAATTTCCACCTCGTGATTTATCAATTCACACATTATCGAATCTTTACAGACATATGAATGTACAACGAAAGCTTCCAAGTTTGTATTTTTAATTGTGCTTTCGTCTGTCGTTCATTTCACGCTATAGCTCTGAACGATTCTATCCGCACTGCGATGTTTAATGATATTCTTATTATTTAAAACTAAAGTTGTTACCAAAGTTTATTTTGTCAAACCACATCCCCTCTCCCTCATCACGTATGACAAACTACCCTTACTCCCCTTACCGTGCCTTCTACCCTCACCCTCCCTCAGCCTACCCTCACCCTACCCTCACCCTACCCTCACCCTACCCTCACCCTACCCATTACCCTCACCCTATCTCACACCCTTTACCCTCTATTCCCCTCGCGCTCACCTTTTTCCCTCTATTCCCCTCGCGCTCACCCTTTACCCTCTATTCCCCTCGCGCTCACCCTTTTCCCTCTATTCCCCCCGCGCTCACCCTTTACCCTCTTTTTCCCCTCGCTGCAGGGAGGACATTCGCACAGCCAACATCATCGCAGGAGAGGGCACAGGCGTGACGTGCCTGGTCATAGACCGGGAGAGCTTCATGCAACACATCGGCGAGATTGACGACATGAAGCAGATATATGGACACATGGATGACTCACGCAGGAAGTGAGACAATTAGGATTTTTATTAGTATTATGTTAACTGACTGGAGGTAGTCTTATACTGACTGTTAGTAATATTTTAATCCTAAACTGACTGAAAGTAGTCTTTTAATCTTAAACTGACTGAGGGTAATGTGTGATGGAGCTCTGAAGGTAATGTGATTGTTTCATGCTGAACGAGACGTTCGTCCTATATTTAAAAAATAACATGAACGAGACGGTCGTCCTATACTTAAAAACATACCAAGTTTTAATGTGATTGTCTCAAACTGAAGGAGACGTTAGTCCTATATTTTTTTATACAAAATGGCTTGTAACATAAATGTGTTAAAGCACTGAAGGTAATGTGATTGTGCTAGACTGAACGAGGCGTTCGTCCTATATTAAAAAAATAGCAAGTTTTAATGTGATGTGCTAGACTGAACGAGACGTTCGTCCTATATTTTTTAAACAAATCAACCAGTTTTAACATAAATGTGTTAACGAAAACTTAGTCTTATATTTTTTTAAACAAAATAATTAGCTTTATCATAAATGTATTGAAGCACTAAAGGTAATGTGATTGTATCAGACTGAACGAGACGTTCATCCTATGTTTTCTTGCAAACAAAACAATTAGATTTAACATAAATGTGTTGAAGCACTAAAAGTAATGTGATTATATCAGACTGCACAAGACTTTCATCCTATATTTAAAAAGTAACTAGTTTTAACAGTTTTAATGTGATTGTATCAGACTCAACGAGACGTTCGTCCTATTTTTTAAAAAATAGCAAGTTTTAATCTAATTATATCAGACTGAACGAGACGTTCGTCCTATATTTTTTTAAGCAAACAACCAGTTTTAACATAAATGTGTTGAAGCAGTGAAGGTAATGTGATTGTATCAGACTGAACGAGACGTTCGTCCTATATTTAAAAAAATAGCAAGTTTTAATGTGATTGTGTCAGGCTCAACGAGACGTTAGTCCAATATTTCGTTAAACAAAATAATTAGGAATCAATTAGTTTTAACATAAATGTGTTGAAGCAGTGAAGGTAATGTGATTGTATCAGACTGAACGAGACATTCAACGCGATGAAGCTGAGTGACCTGCAGAAGATAGCGACGCTGGGCGTGGGAGGCTTCGGGCGCGTCGAGCTCGTGCAGATCAGCGGGGACACCTCGCGCTCCTTTGCCCTCAAACAGATGAAGAAATCCCAGGTGATTATCTTATGATTATTATAGGATTATTATGGTTCTATTATAACTATTATATTTATTGTTATAGTAACTATGATTATTTATATTGTAAGCATTATCTTTATTGTTATAGTAACTATGATTATTTGCTCCTTTGCGCTCAAGCAGATGAAGAAATCCCAGGTGATTATGTTACGAATATTTATATATTGTTAGGATTATTATGATTATTTATGTTATACCTATTATATTTTTAAGGGTGACACCTCGCGCTCCTTTGCGCTCAAACAGATGAAGAAATCCCAGGTGATTATGTTAGAACTATTATATATTTTTGCAATAATTTAAGTTATAGGTACCTATTATATTTATTGTTATAATTATTATGATTATTTATGTTATAAGTGTTATATTTATTGCTATAATTATCATTATTATTTCTATTTTTATTGTAAATATTATGGCAATTGTTATAATTATCATGATTATTTCTATTTCTTTTATAACTATTATATATTTTTTATTATTATTATGATTATTTCTATTACGATGCATTTTTTGTTTAATTTTTCCGAGTGGTCGAGCCAAGTTCTTTTCCACTTCGTTAGCGGCATCTTTTTTAATCTTTTTAGATTGGAAAGTAAACCTTGTATGATTATTCGGTCACGCCTTTATCGTCCACGTTTGTTATTTACACGTTCTATTGTTGATATTATTTATTAATGAATACCAATTTAGTCACGAATAACTAAAAACAAGTTGGAAAAATTCATTTTGCACCGAAGGTATGTTAATTAGACTTTCATATTTTGTACCACAATATTTTGTACCACATTTGTTCGTACCACATTATGTCGCTTTAAACACGAACATTCAGCATTGTATTGTTCACAATTTGTGTAAATTTTAAGCTACAATAATTTAGAAACATATTTTTATGAAATAACATGAAATTTTCTTCCTTATGCATTCATTTGACGACGAAGAAGTGAACACTTGGGTAAGTCATAATAATGTGATTAAAATTATACTCCTTTCTTAATTTCTTTTTGATGTTGAACATTATTACGAACAAGTTGACCTATGTATAAAATCTTCTCTAAATCTTTCAGATACTAGTTCTTTGCTAGTCCTTACTAGTTTGTGACGAACTAGTTTTTTGAAGAAAATCGTACCGGATTAGTTATCTTTGTTGAAATATTCTCATTATACGGAAAGTATGTTTCAAAATTTTTTTAGTGTAACTAAAGCTCGAGCGATTTTATAGCTACGAACACCAATTAAAGCGGAAAATTTATAGTGATGAAATAAAACGATTGTCAAAAACTATTTTGGAGCACAAATACGATCTTGAATTACAGCAACTTTAATTTTGCGCTTAAGTTGATTTTTACGCACTTGGCTTAAGTTGATTTTTACGTACTTACCTAGAATTCAACGAAGCACAGTTTGTAAGCAACTAAGGATAATAATTCTTAATAAATAAAGCATGAAATTGGAACTTAAGCGAAAATTTAAAATTTTTGGTTTTGCAATTTTCTAGGAAATTTTTAATTTGCGGTTGTTGGGATTCGTTTAGTCGGCAGTTAGGGGCTTTTATTGGATTATATTTCATTATTTTTTAATGTTAAATCCTTTTTCCATGTTAAATCATTCAATTGAATATGTGGCAGTGTGGATTCAAAAACTTTATCATGACAAAATTGTTTTCATTTCCAAATATGTTTATCAACGTACGACAGGAAATTGATCTTACTTTATCATCACGAACCAATTTTCTTGTGCGAAATTGACATCGATCCAAATTTTGTCGCCTCAATGCGTCGTTTTGAACTTATTATTCATTATTCATCAAGTTACTATTTTCTTTACGAGTTTTTTCTCTTTATAAATAGAAAAGGCATTCATTATTTATCAGGTTCGTATAGTAATAATTAGTTGAATATTCAATAAAATTACATATGGTGCATGTAAACATTCCACTGTGCTGCGTCAGGAGTGAACTTTAATGTGTACGATGAAATGTTGATGTTGATTTAGAATTTTTGCTGGAACCTTATTTTTTACTTTAGATTAATTAAAAAGTTTTCGTCAGAATAATGACGTATGCGTCAGTACACTCAGAGAAACAAATGTATCATATTGTCCAATTAGTGACACGCTTTCTTACCCGCTGCACGTAGCACTGATACGCTCTTTGCCGGTCAAAACTAGGTCAGGATGACCCATATAATGGCCAAAAGTGCATCGACATTTGTACAAATCTCACTCATTTGTTTGAGTGTACGCGGCGATGTGACGTGTCAAATAAAATGGTGAGTTTGCATACAATTAATTTCGTTTACATGCGGCATTGAAACATTAGGATGAGTAATATTTGTATTGGTTTGGGCAATAAAAATTAGGTGTTCAAATCAAACGGCTGTCGTCGGCGGTCGCTGAATATGTTCGTTCGTTTTACCTAAATCCCTTTATTATTTTGTTTTGGCCAAGGTTAATTGGCTCGATGAACTCTGAACAGTATGAATGTTCACTAATGTTACTTGTTTTCCGTTGATGTGTTACTGTTAGTTGATGTTCACTCTTGTTTTTGATGTTTTTTTTATATTAGTAGGTTTGATGTTCTCGGAACTGTATGGGGTTTCTCTAAAATTTGTTGATTTTTGTTGATATTCTTTTATATCCGTCGATATTCTTTGATGCCCGTTGTTTTTCTTTAATGTAACCGGTAATGTAATGTTTAATGTAGTCGAAATGATTATGAGTAGCGTGCCGACTTGACAGTGACATGCGTATTGGTTTTAACGCAAGGGCTAAAACGTCGCTCTTTGGTCCGGCTCTAAATTCCCTTGAGTTGGAGAGAGGAGAAATGAACACGAGGAGCTTTTCGTAATATATTGGTGATCTTCGGGCGATACACAATTCCTCTGTACAAGGCACTCAATTTATTAGGTCCAAAAGCTCCGGGAAACAGGGTCTCAGCCTCAGGGATACAACGTCGAGGAATCCTAAAAAACTACTGAGGACCACAAAAGCGGACAGCAAGGATACGGGTACGAGCCGCACCACAAAACTGACGACCTCACAGGAATAGACAGCAAGGATACGGGTACGAGCCGCACCACAAAACTGACGGCCTTACAGGAATGGACAGCAAGGATACGGGTACGCGCCGCACCACAAAACTGACGACCTCACAGGAATGGACAGCAAGGATACGGGTACGCGCCGCACCACAAAACTGACGACCTTACAAGAATGGACAGCAAGGATACGGGTACGAGCCGCACCACAAAACTGACGACCTAAAATGAGCTTACCTCAACATCCCGTTTACAATGTACAAAACAGACCGTAAACACTTTCTAAGTGCAAAAAATAGATAATATAATATAATACAATAAAGTCATCATATTTCTAATTATTTGGCAAACTAATCACAGTTAAAAGTCGAATAATCCTAAACTAATTCCAAAGTGCCCAAACTCTCCATCGTTCATGACTATCTAGCGCGCACCGTCGCCAGGCCAGGAGCAGCTCAACCAAACACGTTGGAGCTACACATTCAGTTTCGTCCCAAGACACTATCAACTAAATCCTACAAATATCACAGCTAGACGAGATTCCATATTGCAGTCATGAAACAAATATTTGTTTACGCATTGCTTAGTCATACATAAATTAAACCTCTGAGTTAACACAGAAGCAAAACGATGTTCCAAAAAAAATAATCCACAAGAATTGTCTTCCGTCAACGTTGATGTTTGTTGATGTCCATTGATGTTCCTCGACATTCGTTCAGATTCATTGATGTTCTTTTATATTGGTTGATTTATATTGCTGCTCGTTGACGTTCGTTGACGTTTGTTGACGTTTGTTCATGTACGTTGATGTCTGCTGATGTTCGTTGATGTTCGTTGATGTTTGTTGATGTTCGTTGATGTCTGTTGATTACTTACTGTTCAGGTGATAGAAGCAATGGAGTCGATGCTAGCGCCTCACGTCAAGGAGGGAGAAAAGCTAGATAGAAAAGTAAGTGATAACGCATTTTTTGCTGCGTATTCACTAAACAAATGCTAAAGACATTCCCTAATAAATGCTTCAGACATTCCCGAATACTAAAGGCTTCCGAAAGTTAAAGACTTTCTTGAATGCTAAAGACATTCCCTAATAAATGCTTCAGACATTCCCTAATGCTAAAGGCATTCCCGAAAGTTAGACATTCTTGAATGCTAAAGACATTCTCGAATTTTAAAGACATTCCCGGATGTTAAAGACATTACCTAATTCTGCAGACATTCTGAAAGTTAAAGACATTCCCGAATGCTAAAGGCATTCCCGAATGTTAATGACATTCCCTAATGTTAAAGACATTCCCGAATGTTATAGACATTCCCGAATGCTAAAGACATTCCCTAATGCTTCAGACATTCCCGAATTTTAAAGACATTCTTAAATACATTGAAGTAAGGATAGGTTTTAAACGCCTCTGAAAAAATAACAATTTCCTGGAGTATTTTCTGCATAGTGAAAGATGAGTCGTTCATAAAAATTTTCAAAATTTTCAAATTTTCAAAATTCAAATCTCTAGGTTTAATTAATTGAAGCTTCTTGGTCGCAGATCCGGTTCCGGAAATTGATTTTTAATTTTGATTTTTAATTTCTATGCTTAACCTGAAACCTCTAATTGTTATTATTCACTTTATTGTTATCTCGCATTAGATACGTTATTATCATCGAAAAACTAGACGAAACTCTTCAATTTCATTGATTGCGAATGTTATACAGGGTGCGGCGTGGGAACTTACTCTTTTAAAAAAATCACAAAGTAAAAAGTATTAAAGATAGCGTTTTAATTCTTTCTTTTTTACAAGCGCTCCTCTCTCGACCACTGCATGGTCGCAACTGAACTGAGTGGACGAAAAACTTCATAGCCCGCGCACCATATTGCGCATGGCGCCACCTTCCTAGGACTAATGGCCGCCACGTGGCGCGCAATTCAAATAAGTAAGTTCCCGCGC